CGGCCGGCAGTGGGTAGGCGGGAGGGTGGGGTGAGGCAGTGTCTGGGGTCCGCAGACCCGGTCCTCGTTGGGCGGTGCCTCAGTTTCTCGAGGCAGAGGTGAGGAGTGACCTCCCTGCTCAGTTCGGTCCGACGAACTGGAATCCAGAGATGGGCAAGACACTGCTCCCCAGGGAAGCTGGGGAGATCAGTGCACCTCCGCTTTCCGGTTTCATTCGGCAGTGTTGATTCAGCACCCATCCTGGCCGAAGCCCCCGCCTGAGTCCCACCCTCGGCTGAGCCCTGCTTGTGCCCGAATCGTAGACTGACCTTCCACCCCAGCGTGTCCTTCCGACTGTGGCTGAGCTCAGATCTGGCTGGTCCGAGGCCTAGACACACAGCCCTTGCTGGGACACTTGGGCATGAGAGTCAGACGTGGTGCCCAGGCCAACATCCTGCACAACCTCAGGGTGACCGCTCCCCATGAGAGTGGGCGTTGGGCCAGTGGCCCCTGCTGTGGTCCCGCCCTGGGATGTGCCTGTAGCCTTGTTGGCAGGTGTCAGGGGCAGCCAATAGCTGCAACACCTTGGGCTCGGCCCTCCTCCAGGTGTCCCAGCTGAGGACAGGCAGGTGTAAACCTGTCTGGGGCAAGGTGAGCAACGTCTCCACAGGGGAGAGAGTCAGGGTGCTCTGAGAAGGAACCCCGGGCAGAGCTGAGCTTCAGATGGCTGACCCAAGCCTGGGGCTTTGACTGTCTCATCCATAAAGGGGGCTCTGGGCTTCGAGTCTCAGAACCTCTGCCCTCCTTGGAGGCGCGTGGAGTGGGCCCCTCAGCTGTAAAAGGACTGTGTACCCTGTGCCAAGTGCACTCTGACGCTCATTCTCTGCCTATAGCAGCAGTGTCGGCGTTGGCGTGTGGTAGCTTATAGATAAATGGTCGTGAGAGCTAATCGTGATTCTTCCAGAGAGGCTTCCCAGGATCTCCCTATGTAATCCCCACAGCCCCACAAAGTGTTGGGTGGGCGGGGTGGCCTTGGAGAGGTCAAGGGAGGTACCAAGTTTATGGCTGCTCCAGCAGGTGCCACATGGGGCCTCATCCCCCAGGAAAGCCTGCTCCTTGGGCTCTGAAATATCCTGGAGTGCTGGTCATCTGGGGTGTCCACAGCACCTTGATTTTCCCTTAGGGGCTTCTCATTCTTAGTCTGTAAGGTTCAAATTGGACTGACTCCCCCCCCCCCCCCCCCCCCCCTCCCCCCAAACCCTGGCTGCAGGGACGGGTCACCCAATCAGAGCGTTCCAAGCCCCTGGCTGCACTGGTTGGTTCAGGAACAGCATGTGGCTAACCATCTAATGAGATGCAGCTCTGGGACTTTTTCTGAGAACACTGGGCTGGGGTGACTGAGTGGGGACCTGGCCTGAGGTTAGGGGACCGTCTTATCACCACAAGCCCTACGAACAAAGGTGGCACTCGAGGATCCTGATGACCCTGTGTGTGCTCCTGGGTGCAGCCATGCTGGCCTCTGAATGCTCCAGAGGTGCAAGCTGATAAATTACTTTCGTTCTTATGAAGCCAGTTTGATGTGGGCCTCCCATCACGTGCCACAGGAGCACCCTGCATTCAAACCTAAGTTCTGCTCTGACCTTGGAAATGGCCCTGGGATGCTAAGCCAGGTCTCAGTTTCTCTATCTGTAAAAGGAGTTACATGAGAGAATATTTGGAAAACTCTTAGCATGGGCGTTGAAGATGTTATGGAGAGGTATACAATGGCATTTTGCTGCAATCATGCCGGTTGAGAAGGAAGACGTGATCTCAGGAGGCAGGGACTGCAGGAGTGGAATAAAAGGACGGACAGGAGAGAATGTGGCCCCTCAAGGGTAGAGGGAAATGGAGTCCTAAGACAGAGGCTTCAAGGCCAGTGTGCTCTGGATGCAATAGAACTGGCTTCGAGGTCAGCCCTGCCTTTTCCTGGTTGTGCCATGGGGCCGGTCACTTACTGTGGGAGAGAATAATGCCCCCCTCACCTCCCATAGCCGTCCACATCCTAATCCCAGAGCCTGTGACTATACCACCTCACAGGACAAAAGGGACTTTGCAGATGAGATTAAGAATCTTGAGATGGGAAGAGAGCACCTGGCTGGAGCATGCAACTCGATCTCAGGGTCATGAGTTGGAGTCCGTTGGGCATAAAGCTTACATTAAAAAGAAGAAGAATCTTGAGATGGGAGATTATTTTGGGTAATCACGGTGGTTGGACCCTGTGTAATCTACCCCATTCCCAAAGGACCAAAGTCAGACAGATGGGCAGACCCCGTGCTTCTGGCTCTGAGGATGAGGAGGGGCCATGGGCCAAGGACGGCACCTCTGGAAGCCGGAAAACCAAGGAGATGGGGCCCCCTGGGGCCCCCGGGGGAGCCAGCCCTGCCTACACCTGGGAGTTAGGACCTGTGAGCCCAGGGCTGTCAGAGAACCAGTGTGTGTAACTTTAAGCCACTGAATTCAGTGATTTGTAACAACAGTCGTGGGAATTGAATACACTTGGCTCTGTAAGCTTCAGATTCTTCCGCTGGAAAGTTGATTGATTCATGACTTCCATGCACAGATCTAGGCCCTGGGGCTACAGAGAACAGGACTAGCAAAGCCACCCACCTTTGGAGAGGTAGGGAGAGAGGCCATAAACAAATCGGTAAATAAATAGCGATTTTTGGTAGCAATAATTGCCAAGAAGAAAAATACAGTATGGTGAGGCATTAGCAACAGGAGTGGTTGGAGGGTTGGTTTGGAGAGTGGTCAGGGGAGGTGTCCCTCAGGAGGTGGCATCTGAGCAGAGACCAGAACGAAGGGAGGAAGTGAGCCATGTGGGTCTGGAGTAACGGTGTTACAGAGACGGGCTAGCACATACAAAGGCCCCGAGGTGGGGACAAGTTGCTCCAGCCAGAGACTGGTGTGCCTGAGACAGAGTGAGGGGACAGAGGCAAGACAGGGAGCTGGGGAGTCTCCTGGGTCAGCTTTCTTTTTTTTTTTTCTTCAAC